AAAAAAAAAAAAAAAAAAGAATAATGATTCATGACATGGGGCCAGGCGTGGTGGCTCATGCTTGTAATCCCAGCACTTCAGGAGGCTGATGAGGAGATCAGGAGATCAGGAGATCGAGACCATCCTGGCTAAGACGACGAAACCCCGTCTCTACTTAAAATATAAAAAATTAGCCAGGCGTGGTGGCAGGTGCCTGTAGTCCTAGCTACTCAGGAGGTTGAGGCAGGAGAATGATGTGAACCTGGGAGGTGGAGCTTGCAGTGAGCTCAGATAGCACCACTGCACTCCAACCTGGGCAACAGAGCGAGACTCTGTCTCAAAAAAAAGCTGCAGGGCTGGTGTGGTGGCTCATGCCTGTAATCTCAACACTTTGGAGACCTAGGTGGCAGGATCCCTTTAGGCCAGGAGTTCAAGACGAGCCTAGGCAACATATTGAGACCCTATCGCTATAAATTCTTTTTTAAATGAAAAAAATAAAAATAATCACAGAATGCTTTGTATATTTCATCTGTATATTACAAACATGTAAATAGGAACAACATATATGCGGATGTAGACTTAAAAATTAGCTATGTATGGTGGCATATGCCTGTAGTCCCAGCTACTTGGGAAGCTCAGGTGAGAGGATCACTTGGACTTAGGAGATGGAGGATGCAGTGAGCCAAGATCACCCCACTGTACTCCTGCCTAGGCAACAGAGCCAGACCCTGTCTCAAAAAAATTAATTAACAAAAATAGAATATTTCTGGGAAGATAAATTATTTATATTGTTTACTGCTATATGACATGGGATATGATATATTTTAACATTTTAATTTCTATACAACTAGAATTTTAAAATAGTGTGCATGCCTGTCTTTATAATTTGAAAACAAATTGGCCAATGTGTAACACATTTTGTGTAACTGTGCACAATTTACAAAGATCACCCCTTGCCTCAACCTCAAACTAGCTTCGATTTATGAAAAAGCTGATGTGAGATATTATGGTAAAAGTAGAAGATACCGGTTTTCCAGCCAACAGAGCAAAGATGCGCAGTCTTTCATCCTGGATGAAGCAGTCGGCCTGGAGCTGATGCCAATCCACCAACTGCATGGTGAGCAGCTCCCGGACTGACTGGCTACCCACAAACTGAGATAAAAGAAGAGCCAGACGATGATCACCTATAAGAGAAATGGAAGTTTTTTGGTTATTACTAAGGGTTTACGGACTTGGTCAAACACTTGGGGGCATCATCTTTATTTCTTCCAGGCTTCAGAAGGGAGGACTTAAAATCGGTAACTGCTTTCTACAGTAGTGCCAAAATATTGATCAAAAACTTACCATTTTCTGCTTGGATAGAAAATTTGCAAAGTAGTTTAATCTAAATTACATATAGACTGAGTAACATATAGAAATCAACAACAGATCTACCACTACTTCTGTGATACTAGGCAAGACACCTCAGCTACAAAATGGAAGAAAACAGCCCGACATGGTGGCTCATGCTTGTAATCCCAGCACTTTGGAAGGCCAAGGTAGGTGGATCGCTTGAGGTCAGGAGTCTGAGACCAGCCTGACCAACATGGTGAGAGAATCGCTTGAACCCATGAGGTGGAGGTTGCAGTGAGCCAAAATTGCACCACTGCACTCCAACCTGGGCAACAAGAGCGAGACTCCATCTTAAACATAAAAAGGAAAAATGGAGGAAAACACTGGGCACGGTGGCTCACACCTGTAATCCTAGTGCTCTGGGAAGCCAAGGCGGGCAGATTACTTGGGGTCAGGAGTTCGAGACCAACCTGGCCAACATAGTGAAACCTTGTCTCTACTAAAAATACAAAAATCAGCCTGGTGTGGTGGCACGTGACTGGAGTCCCTGCTACTCAAGAGGCTGAGACATGAGAATCACTTGAACCCAGAAGGCAGAAGGTGCAGTAAGCAGAGACTGCACCACTGCACTCCAGCCTGGGTGATACCAAGACTCTGTCTGGGGGCGGGGTTGGGGGGGAAAGGAAAAAAAAAGGCTGGAAGCAGTGGTTCACGCCTGTAATCCCAGCACTTTGGGAGGCTGAGGCAGGCAGATCACCTGAGGTCAGGAGTTGGAGACCAGCCTGGCCAACATGACGAAATGGGATCTCTACTAAAAATATAAAAATTAGCCGGGTGTGGTGGCACATACCTGTTAATCCCAGCTACTCAGGAGGCTGAGGCAGGAGAATCGCTTGAACCCAGGAGGCGAAGGTTGTAGTGAGCTGAGATTATGCCACCACACTCCATCCTGGGGGACACAGCAAGACTCTGTCTTGCAAAACAACAACAAAAAAACACCCCCCAAAAAACGGAGGGGGGAGTAGTAAAGCAAAAGCTTTAGTAACCTAAAAGGCAGTACCTTTACCAGAGGTTTAGCCTTTGAGTCAAAATAAAAAGGAAGAAAGTGGAGTTTATGAATGAATAGACCTAAGAATCTGACTTTTGGCATTTTCCTTCCTATTACGTGTTGGTGTCCTGGTGAGCATAACCTTTTTTAAATGATTCATAATCATTCTAAGTTCATAGAAGATCAATCCCAGGCCGGGCGCGGTGGCTCAAGCCTGTAATCCCAGCACTTTGGGAGGCTGAGACGGGCGGATCACGAGGTCAGGAGATCGAGACCATCCTGGCTAACACAATGAAACCCCGTCTCTACTAAAAAATACAAAAAAAAACTAGCCGGGCGCCTGTAGTCCCAGCTACTCGGGAGGCTGAGGCAGGAGAATGGCGGGAACCCGGGAGGCGGAGCTTGCAGTGAGCTGAGATCCGGCCACTGCACTCCAGCCCAGGTGACAGAGCGAGACTCGGCCTCAAAAAAAAAAAAAAAAAGAAGATCAATCCCAAAGATAAACTCTCACTGTAGAAATGCAGAAAGACCATAAAAGTACCAGACTGAGGCTGGATGTGGTGGCTCATGCCTCTAATCCCAGCAGTTTGGGAGGCTGAGGAAGGAGGCCAGGAGTTTGAGACCAGCCTGGTCAACAAATAGACCCCATCTCTATTTAAAAAATAAAAAAAAGAAAGCTACGAGGTTAAATACGTAGTGATAGTGGAATGCAACAAGCCCTTTATATAGCTTACTGATTCTGGCTTTTCCTGTGATTTGTTCTTTATAATCCCAAAACTAGCCAAACCCTTCAAAATAAATCCAGTCAATGGCTCCAATTAGTTGGCTTTGGATAAATGAGGTTCCAACAATCAAGGTTTGAATAACGATCTAATCATATTAGATTAAGCTGAGCTATGCCATCCTGTATTCTTATCAAGACTTATGGCCAGACACAGTGGCTCACACCTGTAATCCCAGCAGTAGGGAGGCCAAAGTGGGTAGATCACTGGAAGTCAGGAGTTTGAGACCAGCCTGGCCAACATGGTGAAACCGTGTCTCTACCAAAAAAAACAAAAAACAAAAAACAAAAAACTAGCTGGGCACGATGACAGGCACCTGTAATCCCAGCTACTCAGGAGGCTGAGGCAGAAGAATTGCCTGAACCCAGGAGATGGAGGTTGCAGTGAGCTGAGATCATTCCACTGCACTCCACTACACTCCAGCAGCCTGGACGACACAGAGACAGATTCTGTCTTAAAAAAAAGAAAAAAGAAAAAAAAAAAAAAAAAAGATTTATATCTAGGCAGTCATTAAGCACCTGCTGAATTGCCTCATTAGTGAAACAGAACTTTAAAAAGTAAATATATGCATACAAATTCCTTTTAAAAAGCCAGTGAGTACCTCAATCCAGAAATTCAACTTCTATGTATTTATCTGAATGAAGTGAATTGATACAGAACATATTTTATAGCAATTCAGAGTACTGCTTATAGTTGATTTTGATTTATAGCTTTTGATCTATGCTTTCCAGTTTTATTACAAATGTAATGTAACATAAAATTTAAATTTTAATCAAGTAAACAATGTTTAAGGTCCTAAAAAAAAGAATTAGAAGACACAGTTCGGCTGGGCACAGTGGCTCACACCTGTAATTCCAGCCCTTTGGAAGGCAAACGTGGGTGGATCACCTGAGGTCAGGAGTTCGAGACCAGCCTGACCAACATGGTGAAACCCTGTCTCTACTAAAATACAAAAATTAGCCAGGCGTGATAGCAGGCACCTGTAATCTCAGTTACTTGGGAGGCTGAGGCAGGAGAATCACTTGAACCCGGGAGGAGGAGGTTGCAGTGAGCCGAGATGGCACCATTGTACTCTAGCATGGGCAACAAGAAACTCTCTCAAAACAAAACAAAACAAAAAAACCAAACCCGTCATGGTTCCTGTTCTACAGGAATAGGTGGGTGTGATCCACCCCACTTGGCCTACCACAGTGCTGGAATTATAGGCATGAGCCACTGCGCGCACCTGAAGTATGTCTTCTAATTCTCTGTTTAGGACCTTAAACATTGTTTACTTGATTAACATTTAAATTTTATGTTACATTACATATTCCACAGGAACCAGCAATCTTCCTGGGAAGTCCACAATTAACACTCACAGACTAGCAGTCAAAGGGAAATGCACAGTCGGGGGGACAGGAAGGAGGCGATGAGTAGGAAGGCGACAGGGGCGCAGAGAAGGACCATAATCCCTCCCCACCTGACTGCTGGGCCAGAGAGCAGGCCTCACTGATCCTTTTGCCTGTAAGGTAGCTGAATACAGCTTCCACAGGGCTGCTTTTATGGGTTAAGGAGACTTCCTCTTCAATCTGAGGTGTGGCAGTACAGGATAGCCAGCGGGAGAAAGCTCTTCTTCGCTCTAGAATTTGAATGTATTCACAGGGTTCATTTAGCTGGCTGTCAAGCTCCTTCAGGTGGCCCCATAGGGCTTCACATAGTGTCCATGTCAGGCTCCAGTGCTTCACAACTAAGGCAGGAAGAGAAAAACAATGTTATGAGACAAAGCCTTACAACAACTTCGCAGAGGGCATCCTTCTAACTGTGATGTTAAAAATACATAAATTAATAAACATCTCGAACAACCACTCAAGTTGATTACCCTGAATCTGTCTCTACCTCACTCAGCTTCATGTTATAATTTCCAGAAGTATATGGTATAAATAAATGCTTGCTCACATCATGTTTCTGTGGTACTTACGTAACAAATGTAACCGTTAAATAGGTTCCCCAAGCCTAATTATGGCTAATGTCATCTCAGATGATGTCTACTTTGATCAAATTGTATCTACAAAAATCAATCTACAAAAGCACTGTTCATCATTTAAGCCACTTACAAGTATGCACTGGTAAAATAACTTACACATTTGAAAAGACAATGAGACAATTAAGTAAATACAAAGAACTGAAGGAACATAAACAAATCCCAAAATGTGTGGCACAGGACATTCTAAAACAGCCCATTTTCAATAAAGGTGATGTGCAAAACAAAATGATTTTTCTACTGTTTGAAATATTAACAGAATGATTTTTCTATTGTTTGAAATATTAACAAATTAGAGAACCCCTTTATCAAAGTATTGATTCAGAAAAACATGGTCATGATAGGGGAGAACGGTAATCATTAGAGAAGCCAAGAAGAGGAAATACAACAAAGTTGTTGAGAAGACCAATAGTACTGGAGCTGGACATGGAAGAATGGACAGGATTTAGAAAAGCAAGAAGGGGCCGGGTGCTCACGCCTGTAATCCCAGCACTTTGGGAGGCCGAGGCGGGCAGATCATGAGGTCAAGAGATGGAGACAATCCTGGCCAACATGGTGAAACCTCATCTCTACTGAGAAAACAAAAATCAGCTGGGTGTGGTGGCGCGTGCCTGTTGTCCCAGCTACAGTGACAGAGTGAGACTCTGTCTCAAACAAAAAAAAAAAAAAGAAAAGAAAAACAAGAAGGACTGTATCTCTCTCCCTACGTTCTCTGGATTGGGTAAGAAACGCAATTTTATAAATCCAAGGATTTGACTGGCTACAATTCTTTGTGGAAGAATTTGTACATTAATGGGTAAAAGAACAAAGTGACAAGAATATAGTGACAATTTCTTCTTGCTTGGGAATCTGCTTAAACTCAGCCTCAGAAAATGACAAGCACAGGCATTTACCTACTAGACTGGTATCAAGAACTCCTGTGTACACTACCACCCCTATTACTGGGACATCAAAGATTAAAAACATAATGTATACTCACTTTGTGCTTCTGGTAAGTCTCCTGATGTTTCTTTAACCCAATCTGCATAGTCATGAATGACAGCAACTCCCGGATTGGGGACAATGAGAGGGCACAGTTCATCCACATGGACAGTGCTGTGTTTTAATTTGAGCTCCAGAGGTGTCTGATATAATTTCATGTCTTCATCTGGCTTCCTTTGTCTCAAACTGAGTTTTTCTAAGTGAACTTTGAATGGGGACTCAGTTAGGCTACAAGAGCAAATGAAGAATAGAATAGAAAATGAACCTAAGACAGAAGCTAAGATTTCACTTCAACCAAACCACTGTTTCTTTTTGTGGTTACAAACAGAAGGCAAACATTTCACTGTGGTTTTAAAGAGATTTTGTTCCTTAAACTATACTGAACTTATCTGCTATATATTGGGGAAAAAAAATCTCATTAATGCATTCAGAATACAAAGGCTTCTTAGGCCAGGTTATAACAAGCATGCGAATCCTAACAGTTAGATTTTCAACTGGGTAAAACTCAAGGGTCAAAAGTTATTGTGGGATACCTGTTTCTCAAATTATACTTGGGTATCAAAAGTCATGAGGCTAAGCTTATAGATACTAAAGAACTGATTCTAAATTACAATGGGCATATATATAGCTAAGCTGGGCTTGTTCCAATTTTTTTTTTTTTTTTTTGAGATGGAGTCTCACACTGTTACCGAGGCTAGAATGCAGTGGCATGATCTCGGCTACTGCAACCTCCGCCTCCTGGCTTCAAGCGATTCTTCTGCCTCAGCCTCCCTAGTAGCTGGGATTACAAATGTGCACCATCATGCCCGGCTACTTTTTGTAATTTTAGTAGAGACGGGGTTTCACCATGTTGGCCAGGCTGGTCTTGAACTCCTAACCTCAAGTGACCTACCTTGGTCTACCCTGCCCTAACCTTGGTCTCCCAACGTGCTGGGATGACAGGCGTGAGCCACTGTACCTGGTCCCTTGATCCAATTTTCAAGACTGATATTAATAACCTTCAAAATTCACAAGATAATGCTTAACCTAGAATAACTAAATTTAGGATCAACATTCTTAATTGTGAGGTTCAAGAGACATTGTTGTTATTTTTTCAAAGTCAACTTTAAAAATGAAGGATAGTCTGGGCAGGGTGGCTCACGCCTGTAATCTCAGCACTTTGGGAGGCCAAGGTAGAGCAACACTTGAGCTCAGGAAACATGGTGAAACCCCATCCCTACAAAAAATACAAAAAATTAGTCAAGCATGGTGGTGTGCACCTGTAGTCCCAGTTACTTGGGGAGCTGAGGTGGGAAGATCACTTAAGCCCAGGAAGTGGAGACTTATGCACCTGCACTCCAGCCTAGGTGACAAGTGAGACACTGTCTCAAAAATACATAAATATGAAGGATAATAGGTGATCACTGGCCGGGC